CAACTACACATATATTGCATTAAAAACTGTTCATAATATTCAAGGATCTTAGAATTTTATTTTCAATTCATGTCATTCGTCGGCACATTAGCCGGATAAAGGCAGGCGAGCCGGCCCTCTGGAATACTCTCATACATTTTTCTTCAATTAGACTCTTCGGCATTGATGGCACCCTAATCGTGCTGTTCGTCGACAAAAATCTGTAATTGTATTTAAATGAGCCTTCCATATATAACCCATCTGATCAAATGGTTGTAGGAAAATAATGCAAATACAAGTAGTTTCCAGAAGAACAAATATAAAATTATAGCATGGTCGGTGATACAACTTGTACAAATTCTGACCTACCTCAATCGGTACATATATTTCTATATGCATGTACAATTTGTTTGTTTTGTTTGTTTTGTATTGAAAAAAAATAGATATTAAAACGAATTAGTATCTTTGTAGTAGATAAAAATGAATCGTGTGGTACAGCTTCTAACATACCTCAAACAGCCTTTGCATTTCCTATGAACACAAAACCTGCAGCTCCAGACAGGCAGTTACATACTCACTCACTAATATACTCATCATTTACCCGTTGAGTACAGGGTATTCCAAATGTGTAGTACTTGTATAATATTGAATGAAAATAATTGGAGGGATTAACACGCGTGACTGCAGAATTTTCATTCACAAAGAATGAATTTTTGGGTGGCTCCATACTTTTCAAATATGTATGCATAAATTGTTGTTAATCCAACCAATTATCGTAAAATAAAAAAGTTTTGTAATCAATCGAATTAAAACATTATATTTGATATAGTTATATTATATTATATATTATATTATGATATAACTCTGGATGTCTCACTTAACAAAAGACTGACCAGGATCCCCCACACTAGCTAAGCAAAATGAAACAGCTGTGAGACTATAAGAAAAGTTTTTACTGTTGTTGCGATAGCACTTATTCTCGGTAAGCGGGACGGCCCCAATTGTCCGTCCCGTGCCAAAGTTGGCATTGATAATCCCCAGGCGTTGATGGGTTCAATTCTTTATTCAAACTTTAACTGCTCGTTTACATTTTTACTTAAAGTAAACTAAGCTAAGGCCGCGTAGCTGCGCTGCCCGATACTCCGGCAGCGGAGCGGCTGCATTATATACTAGCTTATATACTCAGCGCTGTTGGCAGCGCGAGAGAGTATGTTATGTGCACTTGAGGTGGCTGACACTAATTGCACTGACGCTGCGCTTATGTCGCCCAATGCATGCGCGATCATATTACGTCGCGTATGGATTATGCTTAGCTCTTGAGTTTGTATAAACATTGCAACAAAGTGTTATAGTGTGTATTCCTTATGTGTGCACACTACACTGTATACAAAAGTATCCTCAAGCACAAATTGTTTTCAACTGAAGCACGGCCAAGATATCCAAACTCATAATTCTGCGAAAAATACAACATCCAAAGCTCATCCTTTCATCACTTATACGGACATTTATCAGGAATTTTGTGTTCATCACATCATAGACAAAATAGCAAAACGCAACATAAGATAGACAACCAAGCCATAAATCTTAGATTTTGCTCATTGGACTTGCCCTTTAGAACATTTAACTAGTATAACATCAATTAGCAATAAACCCGTCCTTGTATTGTCAAACATAGTAGACATCAATTTCTTTATTTTATTTTATTTTCTTTAGAGACAGATTTTTGATAAAGAACGCAACAAAAAAGCAGTTACAAAAAGCGCACTTTATTTTTCTTCAACATTTGAATAAATAAAACAAAAATAAATAAAGAGAGCTGTTGTTCATTTGCTCCACTGTGCGATGAGTGGACGAGCCTTGTAATGGGAGCGGATAATCCAACACATTAGCAGAGACAAATGCATAGCACAACATACAAATGCAAAAACAACAACGACAACAATAGCAACGCCAGAAGCAGAAACTACAGCAGCCAGCCAGTAAACAGAATACATCCTGTGGCAGGACTCATGTAATTTGCAAAAGTTCAAAGTTTAACAAACTGTTTCGGGAAATGCAAATGGCAGTGTGTGGCAAAATGTACACTCAGCCAGCAGCGGTAATGTGGACTATGTGGGTGGCTGGATGGGGGCGTGACAATTCGCAAACAAAACCAAATGAAATCAACAGCAACAAGCAACGTGAAAAACTGCAGTAGAGAGTATACAGATATACACATAGGCGATACAAAAATTCCTACACCTCGATACTGACAGCAATCATTTGTTGTTAGCTTATTCCTATGCTTAAGCCCCTTATTTTTTCAAAATGATATGAAGCTGTTTTATAAGTAAGCTGCATCCAGCTAAGGCATTGGCATAAGCTTTAAAAAAAGGGCAGTCTTAGCACAGTGCTGCTGCAAAATATACGGAAACCAGCGGCGGAAACAAAGTTAGTAAACAGCCAGCGAGAACACAGCGGAAGCGGAAGTTTAATATAAGTTTTATTACAATATTTTCAGCAGCCACCACCCAAAAGCTACTTGCTGCCATTTTGTCTTGTAAAAGTGAAAGCAACACAAATGCAACTTCCGCTTCTGCCACAGTGCGCTGTGTTGCCTCAATATATATTTATATACATATGTATATAAAAGTACATATATATATGTACATATATAAGCATAAGCAGAATTCTACTTCCACACATTACCCAATTGATTTCCATGCCATTGCCATAAAGTCACTGTGCACCGTTTCATTGCAGTTCCATTGTCGACGGCCAATACCTTTGGGGCAGATGGAAAGCGCAGCTTTTAGCATTACTTTGGATTTCAGATATTTGCTTTGCATGTGCGGCTGTTTACGCTTCACTCAACTGGACTTGAGAGAGTCAGTCAGTCAGAGTGGAGTAGAGTAGAATAGAGTGGAGTAAAGCGGAGTATCAAATATGCGCTTGAATGCATTCTCTGCTCGAGTCCTCTATATTTTCTCTCTGGCAGCCGCCACGACAATTAAACATCAAACGCGGCCCCAAGAGAAAATTGAGTAGCAAGAGTGCCGCTAGTTATTTATAAGTGCCTCCTTTTTGAAAATATTTGAAACATATGTATATGCAAGACGTGGAGAATAAGGCGATAGAAGTATGACCAAATGGAGGAAATTCGTAGCAAGATATTGTTGTTATACCCTGTACCCGTAGAGTTAGGGTATATTAGGTTTATGCAAAGTATGTAACATGCACAAAGAAGCATCTCCGACCCCATTAAGTATATGAATTCTGAATCAGCATGACGAGAGAAATCGATCTAGACATGTCCGTCCGTCCGTCTCTCCGTCCGACTGTCCGTCTGGATGAACGCAAAGGATCTCAACGATCGGAGATGCTTCCATCTGCCTGTTACACACTTTGCACAAACCTAATATACCCTTTTTTAAAAAGAACTTGCAAAAGTTGTGCCTGACAAAGTGACTGACCAGTACCTGCCAACACAAAATAGCAGTAGAAATTGTGGGCCAGCAGGACACTCAAGCAAAATGTTATGCGATGCGTGAAACAAAAGCGCAACAAGTAAGTGTAGAAGAAACGACGTATAACATCTATGTTTGCACAGCAACAGCAGCATCACAAACAAACAAGTGTCAAAGGATTTTCCATACAAAGGGTGCACTGTTCTTTGGCAAATATTAAGCAACGCGTACCGTATGCAAATCAAAGCAAGAGAGAACGCTACAGTCGAGCAAGCCCGAACTTCCGATATACATCAGGTATATGTGCCTCTAGCAGAAGCAAAATGAGGAAGAAGAGCGAACTTCTTGCTGCAGCTTGTGGGCGTAGTACCGGAGTGAAATTGTTTCGCTAAGAACTTTTCGTAGAATTAATCTCAGAAACTATAAAAGCTAGAATAACCAAAGCTGGTATCCACATTCTCCTAGGTCCTAGAATGGACGAGTTTATTTTTTTTTTTTAATTTTTTCCCCCTTCTCCCGCTACAGAATTTCGTCAATACCGTCCACATTTCAAAAGCTACCCTAACCAAACTTTGCACACATATATTTACACACACACACACATATTTCTATATAATTATCTGCTTTTGTTTCAAATTTCATCTAAATCGATTAATTCTACGAAAAGTTCTTAGCGAAACAATTTCACTCCGGTACTTCGCCCACAAGCTGCAGCAAGAAATACGCTCTTCTTCTTCCTTTTGCTTCTGCTAGAGGCACATATACATCAGTATCGGAAGTTTACCTGGGTACAGGTCGGGCTTGCTCGACTGTAGCGTTCTCTCTTGCTTTGATTTGCATACGGTACGCGTTGCTTAATATTTGCCAAAGACCAGTGCACCCTTTGTATGGAAAATCCTTTGACACTTGTTTGTTTGTGATGCTGCTGTTGCTGTGCAAACATAGATATTATACGTCGTTTCTTCTACACTTACTTGTTGCGCTTTTGTTTCACGCATCGCATAACATTTTGCTTGAGTGTCCTGCTGGACGAACGCTTTCTCTGCCGTTGCTTCCACATATCGACACGCCCACAATTTCTATTGCTATTTTGTGTTGGCAGGTACTGGTCAGTCACTTTGTCAGGCACAACTTTTGCAAGTTCTTTTTACACTGCCATGCACTTTAATAGGGATAAGATTTTTATACCCTGTACCCCTAGGGTAAAAAGGGTATATTAGGTTTGTGCAAAGTGTGTAACAGGCAGATAGAAGCATCTCCGACCCCATGAAGTATATATATTCTGAACCATAATGACGAGAGAAATAGATCATATCCGTCCGTCCACCTGTGCGTCCGTCTGGATGAACGCAACGATCTCAGAAACTATAACAGCTAGAATAACCAAAGTTGGTATCCAGATTACCCTAGGTCCGAGAGTGGACGAGTTTATTTTATTTTTTGGATATTTCTAGAAATGAAAAATCAATCAGAACTAAAACATTCAGTTTAATGAATACAAAGCTAAACGGGCTATTTATACAAGTATTTTAACGTACCAAACAAGCTTACTGCATTCACATACTAATCTACGGTCCCACATATCCAGTTCTTTACTGTGAACTATCGCAAATATGGACAGTGGAACCTCTAAGGAAATCTCACAAGCCCCTAGTACGCCCATAAATAGTGGAACTGCTACGGAAAAGCCGAAATGCAAGGCTTGTTGCGCCTGTCCGGAAACGAAGCGCGCACGTGACCAATGCATTGTAGAGCGCGGCGAAGAGAACTGCAGCGCGCTGATCGAGGCACACAAAATTTGCATGCGCAGTGCCGGTTTCAATATCTAGAATTTTCAATAAAGCAGCATTATAAGCATTATAAAATTAACAGCCCATTAGTCTTGTACGTTGTGACCAAACTAAAAAGGATAGAAAGGATTTGGATTCGCGCGCCTCGTCAAGCTGATGTTCACCTGTGGTGTTTATACATATCGTATATTATTCTGTTTTTACACGCTTACACATAATTAATAATATACCCAATCACTTTTTAATGAAGAGTATTAACCCAATATCGCCTTTAAAAGCTTATAAAAAATTTGCAAATATCAGGGTTTAGCATCCTTGTTGCTTTTGTTACTCAGCCTTGCCTTAATCTACCGGGGCATTTATTAGATATTATTGTAATTCGATTAAAATTTAACTTAAGCTTTCCTAGCTTAGAAGTTTTTTTTTATGATTTGTATATACATATTGTTTTCTTATGTCGACAGTAAATGTTTGTTGAATTTAATATAAATAAATAATTAAATACACATTCTTGCTGCCAGTATGTATGAGAAATGTGGAGACTCGGAAGGCGCTAGTATCATTACTCTGTTTTCGCGGAGCTATTCATTCTCGGTTAGCAACGTCTTCTTCGCTGTATTGTAATGAGAATTTCTGTTCAGCAATTTACGGCCCTAGTTCTTGACGACTGGTGCCCATATCTTCAAAGTTTCCAGAGTAAAGCCAAACCAAGCTTATAAGGCGTTTTCTTTCTAGTTCATTAAATACTTCTCATATTAACTATTATGCTTTGTCAGTAGACTTTTGACCAGCCTATAACTACTTTAATAGTACCTTTTAAATTCTAACATAATATGCAATAAATCTGCTGGGCTGTGTTCAAGATTTAAAGGACAACCAGTCAGACTTTCAAAAACACTTTCAAGAGTTATATATTTTTGGACTATTTTGTAATAGCAATATTTAATTAAATATAATTATAGCACACTTTATACATTATTTAATTTTACCAGAACCGAATGGCAAAATGTTCCTCATCTCTTACAGACGTTGAGTAGGTTTAAGCGCCTTTTAACCAATTTGTCGTCTACTAGAACTTACCTTCTTCTTAACTATATACGAGGACTTCAAGCAGCATGGTATTGTGTTTCAGGGCATGCTACAATGCCTCTCTCACAGAGATAGATATACACACTCGCACAAACATACATACATACTTGTATATAATACGCATACAATCATCGGAGCACTTGCATTTTGGTTCGTTTGAAGTGTGCCCCAGAAACTTTTTAATATGCTTGCGAAATTTTGTCAAACTGCAAAGTTGCAAGTTAAATAAGTACAGAGCATGTCACGATGACTCCATACTCGGTATTCAGTGCTGCTTTAAGGGCCGTCCTCTCGGTTGGTAAAGTAAAACAAACACACTGGAAAACTCCTGAGTACTCAAACACCCATGCATCTTACAACACAAAGTGCAATATCCTGTGTCTATGGAGAAAGTGTGCTTGAAGAAAATCTAGCAGAGAAAACCATTAACTTAATTTCCTACTCCAGTCAATCTAACTTCTCTGAAATTTGCCTTGCAAAAACTGGAAAGTTTGATTGCAATTGAGACAAATAAGAATGTGCTTTTGTGTCTTTTGTTGTTGCTCTTGTGTCTGAAATATTAGCCATACCAATAATAAATGCCTTGGCACCTATGCCAAAGGCTTATAGTACAGCCAGCCAAAGTTTTGAGCCTTTGATGGCATGTGATGCATTTTATGGAATTTTCTTTCGCAAGACATGGAAAAAATATTAAGGACTGCCAGACACCACACACATAACACACACAGTCACACATATACATACATACTCGTATATGGAAAAAGCAATGCAAATGCCTTAGCACTTTCTTTGCTCTTAAGTTTCTCCAACATGCACGCACTCACATACAGGAATAGACATTCCACGTCCCTTTGTCATTCCCTGCTGGCAAGTTTCTTGCTCAAACACCAAAGTGTATTTCATGCAGCTCTGCATTTAATTGAATTGCTGGCAATAAGCAATGGCAACCACAGCAGGGCTTTTGTCGCACACAACTGTACGACTACTACTTTCAAAATACTTTGCTCCACACATACACACACTCACACACACACACGCTCAGAGCGAATCTACAAAAAAGAATGGTAGGCAAATGAAATACGATTTTCGGTGGCCCATTCAATCACTGCAAAAGGAACTAGGCAGGTGTCAACTGCACACCTCAAAGTGGAGCACCCTTGCTGTCAAGTTTTATGATTGCATTCCACATAAAGGTGCGTGGAAAAAGAATGCCAGAGAGTTCAATACAAGGCGTGCAGTTAGGAGAGTAGTAGGGGAGTGCGCCTAAAGGTATGCTATTGCTTTAGGGGAGTGGGACTCCCTTCATATTTTCTCGCTGTAGCTGTGTTTTCCGTCAAATACGCAGCTCATTAAACTTTTTCAATTTCTAACACACTGTTGATGTGATCAAGCCTTTTTGCTGACAAGTTTTTGCATTTGAGCAGCTCATTAAAGTTTCAGATGTGCACTTGCGTGTGTATGTGTGCTGAAATTTATTTATGCAACAAAGTTGACACCAACTCGAGCTCCTTCATCGTTGTGTTTTTTTATACATAAACTTTTCCACGCACTCAAGTCCAAATGGCAGGCCATAAATTTACCCAAAATGTGACAGCACACAAACACACAGCCACACATGCATGCATACAAGTACATACACATATAAATACTTACATTTTGGCTATATTTTGTATATATATATACGTTAAACATGTGTGTGTGAGTGTGTGTATGCAAATGAAATGATCGAGCTGCTGCTACTGCTGCCGCAAAGCATTAAAAGCTCAAGTCCATTTGCGCAACATGTGGCAAAGTGGCAAATGCAGCACAGTACAGCACATGCCAAGCAACTAACTGAACATTTGCCACGACTCAGTGCGGTCAGTTAGGGTGTTGTTGTTGTTGGTTGCGGTTGAGCCACATAAAAATCCATGCTCACCAGACAAAGCAACGGGGTCAAGCTGTTGCAGCTGAGATTTTTGTGTTGCCATTAGCAGGCAGACAGTAGATGGCAGACAGTAGACGGCAGTCGACAGAAGACAGACGACAGACGACTGACGACAGAAGAGACAAAATTTCAGTAAAAATCAAAGGCTGTCCACGCGCTAAGCCCATTTAATTATAAAGCGCCGCAAATTATGCAACACTCTGCACGCTGACACGTCTCCGCACTTTATGTACGCGACACTTGCCCGTTTTAATGAAAAAGTTCCGCAGCATATGTGCGTGAATGTATCTGGGTGTGCGTGTATGTATGTGTGTGTGTGTGTGGGTGGCATCTGCACACGCACACGCACACGAGAAGTTTTATTTCGTTTGGGTCAGGTGAGCACACTGACAAACGGACACAGTTGGAGAGGCAGCAGGACGGGCAGGACGAACAGTCGCACGGACAGACATCAAAACTGACACGCACATACACACACAATCACACAGTCGCAAACAGGCCCGCATTTAGGCCGGGTCAAGTGCCCAAGTTGGGGACTCGCCTCATTTTGCGTGCTGTGATAAGAAAGTGTCAACACAAACGTGACAAAGCTACAAATGTTTAATTTTTACGAGTGTGGATACGGGTTTGGGTTTGGGTTTGGGTTTGGGTTTGCGTTTGGTTGGACTCCCCATACTTCCACATTGGAGTTGGGGATTGTATATGTACATATCTATGTATGTAATGTGGTGTGTAGTTGGTTACCAGTGGTTGGAAGCGCGCGTGTCTCGTCGCTCAACTCAACTTATTTACAGTTGGCCCCAAACACCCCGTTTTCCTCATTTGGTCAGCGGCGTGACTACGGGTTTTTGTGCTGAAAATCACGTTTTTACCGTAAACATGTTGCAAAGTTCGCGGCCGACGTAAATGCGCTTTATCTTTACATACTTCTAGGCAGCGCAACAAAAACAACAGCAACAACGGCAACAAAAACGCAGTGGAGGCCAACGTGCTGAGGCGACCAAAATGGCAAACATTTAAATTTAGTTTTTAAAACCAACAAACCACGACCAGGAATGTCCACACATTTCGGAGGCATAGAGTCAAATCCTTAAAACCGAAATACGAAATGTATATCTGTTGCTATTTAAAGATACCTATAATAGTAACTGAACTTTTTATAATCTGCACCCGAAAGGTGATAAGGTGTGTTAGAAAGTGTTAAATCCGAATGGCCACTGTATGCACGATGCAGAAGGAGAGGGGGCAGAGCTCATGTTATAGGTACCTGTATAACAACCATGAAGGAAGGCGTCAATAAGGACATGACTGACGATCCGTCTATCAGTGTGTCCGCCTGTATAAACAATGAGAATTATTGGGAACACAAAATTATTGTTATTTTAATTATTTATTTATTATTATTTATTATAGTATTTTATCGTCAAACAAAATTGTCGATGTAAAAAGAAATCAATACATAGCTAAATAAAATAATAAGCTAAATAAAACTATAGAATAAAAAAGCCTATAGAAATTACAAAAATATCTACTAACGATTTCGACTCGGTGAGGGAATTTTCCAACAGATTTATATAAATTATAAATGTTAAATTGTAATTAAGATTAAGCACCTAGTTTAAGTTGTAATTGTATTTAACTAAAAGTTTATGTTATAAATATAAAAATATAATCGAAAAAAGGTGGGTCAAAAAAAAATTGAGGTGAAGAAATAGCAATAATACTTGTAAATAAAGAATAATTATGATTGGATAAAAATAAAAATAATAAATTAAAATTAAAATACTTAAATAATAAGAAATCAATATTTTCAATTAAAAGCTAAAGGGTGAAGGTTCACTGACCCGGTTGGAAAAGGTTTATAAGCCAGTCCGACAAGCTATCAGCCCCTTCTCACGGGAGTGATGATCAGTCATTCTGCAGGAGGTAGCTGAAAATATTAGTAAGGAGAAAGTGAGCTCACTTGAGAGTAAAAAGTAAAGAGTATTATAATCGGAGGATAATACACGAAAAGGATTCTGCATGGCGTAATCAATAGAACATCTGTTAAGTAGAAGACGCAAGAAGTTCCTTGTTGG